AACAGTGCAAAAGTAAAGAACTGAAAGGGTTGAACATATTAACCCTTTACTGAGAGATGATAAAAACCCTTTCCAAAAAAATTTGAATATCATGGAAATGTTGTTTAACTTCCATTATTCCATTCTAAAAGTTAATCTTTAATAGATGATAGATTCAGAGCCCACAATTTAAACAAGTTCAAGTATTTATTTGTTTATTTTTACATAATTTGGGCTTCCAGCTCATGAAACCTACAAAAACAGGAATTCAAAAAAATCGAATACTGTGGAGACATCAGCCCAAATTTTGCAGGACATGAATGTTTTAAACTGAGTGTGACACTAATCATCTACTAAACTCAAAGCACCTGCACAGGTTTCCCCAGGTGTCATTAAATTGATTCAGTTTGGTTCAATTGTCTCGGTTCAGTTCAATATGGAAAGACTGCAGACATAACAACTGGCCAGAAGACCATCATTGATACACTCCATGGGATGGGTAAGCCACAAAAGTTCATAGCTAAGGAGGTTGGCTGTTCACAGAGCGCTGTGTCCAAGCATATCAATGGAAAGTCTAGTGGAAGGGCAAAATGTGGCAGGAAAAGATGCACCAGCAAAAGAGATGACCGTGGGTTTCAGCAGATTATCAAACAGAGAAGATTCCAGAATCTGGCAGAGATCCAGAAAGAGTGGAATGAGGCGGAAGTCACAGCTTCAAAAACCACCACATTCAGACGCATCCAGGAGATGGGCTACAACTGTCAGGTTCCTCTGTCCTCTTTTCCGATGAAAGTAAAGTGTGCCTTTTCATTCAGAAATCAAGGTCCAAGGGTTTGGAGGAAGATGGGTGAGGAACAGAACCCATACTGCTTGAGGTCTAGTGTGAAATATCCACAGTCAGTCATGATTTGGGGTGCAATGTCTGGTGCAGGTGTTGGTAAACTCTGCTGTCTTAAATCCAAGGTCACCGCAACAGTCTACCAGAATGTTTTAGAGGACTTCATGACTCCTTCTGCTGAGGATCTGTATGGAGATGCAGAGTTCATCTTCCAGCAGGACCTGGCCCCTGCCCATGCTGCCAGAAGCACCAAAACCTGGTTTGATGCCCATGCCACAGTGCTCGACTGGCCAGACAACTGGACGGACCTAAACCCCGTTGAATCGATGGTGTATTCTCAAGAGGAACATGAGGGGCACCAGACCCAACAACAAAAAAGAGCTGACAGCATCAAGGAAATCTGGGCTTCCATAACTCCCAGTCAATGCCACAGGCTGATTGCCTCAATGCCACGTCACATGGAGGCAGTGATTAAGGCAAAGGGATTCCCAACCAAGTATTGAAGATTGACATATGGTTTTGAAAGTACAATATTTTGATTGATTTGTTGTGATCCTGATTTCTTTCTTTTTTTTTCTGCAAAAACTGAGAAGCAGTGTGGGCTGATGTCTTCACAGTATTCACATTTTTTTTTAATCCCGTTTTCGTGGGTTTCATGAGCTGGAAGCCCAAATTATGTAAAAATAAACAAATAAATACTTGAAATTGTTTAAATTGTGGGCTCTGAATCTATCATCTATTAAAAATTAACTTTTTGAATGGAATTATGGAAGTTAAACAACTTTTCCATGACATTCTAATTTTTTGGAAAGGGTCTGTAGCTCCATTTTCATGCACTGCCTAAAGCCACAAAGAAAGAACATTTGCATAATAATTTCCAAACGCTACAGTGCTGCTACTATAAAAAGCAGTGAAACCTTCATCAACACTAAAAGTAAGCCTGTGTACGTGTTTTTATGTTTATGAACCCGTTTCCATCCACCCATCACTCCTGAGACTAAACAACTTTATGTTCAAGGGTCCAGGACAAACAAATGCTACTCAGAACTGTGCATCAGTGTGAGGATATGAATGTTTGTTGCTGCTGCAAGAAGTGAAATACTGCACAAAATAAATTCTGCCCAACAAAGAGCTCACAGTGCACACGACTCGATCCTTTGATGACGTCCTCTACAGTCCACGTGGGGTCCAGGAGTGCTGTAAAAACAACACGGTGGTAAACCTTTGTTGTGACAGAAGCTGAATGACGGTCGGTCAGACCAGAACTTTACTCATTTAGCTCCAAAGAAAAAGCTAATCAGCACCAGGTTGTTAAAATGGCTTTATCTGGTCCCTTCTAGTGTCTCCGACAGATTTTGCACGAGCTGGTTCAAGGTCTTTTCTGAATGCACATTCACCTCAACACAACCAGGAACAAAGCATGACAACACTGTCTATTATAACTGTGGTAGGAGTGTGTGACACCGCACAAAGCTTCAACCCTTTACCAAACTCAAAGCTATAGACTTACACCACAACCAGAACTTACCTCCAAAATCAGATCAGGATGTAGGTTAGGGTTCTGGCCAATTCCTATGTTCACCTCTTAAACCGTGTAGTTTGCAAATATTACATACTCATGTGTACTATTATTGTGTTCCTTTGTATCCCTGTGTTCTTGTCTGGGGTTAAAGTTGGGAGAATATGTAGACGTCAATAGTTTAGTGGACAGGGTTATGGACTTGCCAGTCATGAGCCTACCACCAAACTACCAATAGTATTAACAAAGACACAATGCTAAATTCAGCCATCAATGTTGGGGACGATGCCAAGATGACAAGTACAAAGAGACCCACGGCAGGAGGCTTCTTTTTGTACCCATAAAGGTCTGGAGGTGTAGTGATCAATGGTGCAAAAGTACAAAGTAGTGAAAATTCAAGTTAACTGGAGCTGGCAAGTTAACACATTTGATACTAATATTGGATCAGCCTGATGTATAAATGGACCCATAACATCACGCCCATGGTTTGGACTCAAAACTCAGAACAAAGCTTGGCCTCTTTGAAGTCCATCCATCCACAGCTTGTTCTGGAGTCGGGTTGCGGGGGCAGCAGCCTGAGCAGGGAGGTCCAAACATCTCTATCCACAGCCACTTCTTCCAGCTCTTCCAGGAGGATCACAAGGCATTCCCAGACCACCCAAGAGATGTAGTGTCTTCAGCCTGTCCTGAGTCTTCCTCAGGGTCTCCTCCCAGTTGGACATGTCTGGAAAACCTACCTAAGGATGCATCCTGAGGGCCTCCTTACCAGATGCCTGAACCACCCCCACGGGTTCCTCTAGATGTGGAGCAGTGGTTCTGCTCCAAGTCTCTCCTGGATAAATGAACTTCTCCCCCTATCTTTAAAACAGACTCCAGCAACCTTGTAGAGAAGACTCTTTTTGACCACTTATATCTGCAGTCTCATTCTTTAGGTCACTACCCAGAAGCTTTGCCTTTCAGCTCAGCTCCCTCTTCACTAAAGCAGACCAGCACAGAGGACACAATACTGTAGAAGTTGCACAATCCATTTGTCACCCTCATGCCCCTGTCACCTCTGTGAACTCCAATGAGAAAACTAAGAAACTGTGTGACCGTTAACTAGTTGCCAGCAGTTGTGGCCAAAAAGATAGTAATTTTAATCTGAAATATCTGGAAATGATAAGGAGGTACATTTGTCAACATTTGTGCAATTAGCAGTTCACAGATTTCTTTCTCTACCTTCTGTCACTCGACTTATGAGTCAAGACTGGTGTAAAGAAAAAAAACGTTTTTCAGTCTACTATTAGTATGCTTGAATGACTTCAGAACACTTAAAAATAGTCTTAAAAATAGCTCCAACAACTACATAAAGATTCAAAACACTCACTAAACGGGGTTATAAAAAACATCTACTTTGGGGCAGCATGGTGGCGCAGTGGGTAGATCTGCCACCTCTCAGCGAGCAGGTCCCTGGTTCAAAGCCCAGTCAGAGGACCTTTCTGGGTGGTTTGCATGTTCTCTCCGTGAATGCGTGGGTTTTCTCCGGGTACTCCAGTGTCCCCCCACAGACCAAAAACATGCATGTTAGGCTGACTGGTAACTCTAAATTGTCTCTAGGTGAGAGAGTGAATGGTTGTTTGTCTCCATTGTCTCCATTAAATGGACTGAAGACCTGTCCAGGGTGTCCCCCGCCTCTCGCACAGTGATGGCTGGACATGGACACCAGTGACTTTGGCGACTCGAAAAGGAAGAAGCTTGTAAAGATGATTGATTTATTGATTGATTGACGGACAGACAGAGCATATTACTTCATGATAAGATGCAGCAACTAAAAATCTCAAATGACCTAAAACTATTCAGGAACAACAAGAATTCCCAGTTACTTAGTGAATACACACAATGGTCAACTGGTCATCATTAACTTCACTGGTACATTTTCCTCTTTAAATCACTTCTTGGTCTGCTGCCTTCATACATCTCCTCCTACATGTCTCTGCGTGAGTGCAGCTACAGCGTGCGCTCTCAGGACATCATTACCTGCAGTGTTCCCTCAGTGAGGACTGAACTAGGCAAAAGAACCTTCTCCTACTCCGCTCCTGTTTCCTGGAATATCTTACAAAAAGATCTGAAGCTCTCGACCTTGACCTCTCCAAGTGGCTTCAAACATCTGATAAGTTCATGGCAAAAACCAGTGCAGACATGTTCCTGTTTTTAGTGTTTTACATCGTTTTATGATGTTGCTGGTTTGTTTCTTGTAAATGAGTCCTCGAGGCTCAATGAGACCAACGTGTAGAAATAAAGGTTGAATTGAAATGAAAAGGAAAACCAGCAGAATTCTCCCAGAGGAGGAACAGAAACCATCAAATGTTTAATGGTTTAACTGGTCCCACCCAGCTGAGGAGCCTCTCTGGACAGGATGAGCTAATCCAAAGGAGTCGGCTCACAGGCTGGGGGGGCTGCACCTGCCCGACCCGTGCCCTGAACCCGGGCTGCTCCCTGTGTGGGGGCACATTCAGAGCTGGAGGGACGGTGTGTCCTCCCAGGTCCAGCTCGTGAGCTCCGAACTACGCTGCTAACTAGCCTGGAGCTCGTTTCATGCTAGCCAATTAGCTGGCTGGATTAGAGGAAGCGTCGGTATTGTTTATCACCACTGTCAGCGTAAACAGGTAAACAAAAACAAGATACCTTTGTCTCCCGGATGTCCTGCTTGGCGCCTTCAGGGTACCAGTGGACTCGAACAAATCCTCTCCCGAGAGGCCGACTCGGGGCGTCCAGGGCGCTCTCGGTGTCCGAGCCGCCCGGGACCCGTCCTCCTCCGCCGCCCCCGCCTCCCCCTTCCCCGCCGCCTCTCCCTCCGCCATCGTCGAGGTCCGAGTCCGAGTTGAAATCCTCCTCGCCGTGGATCATCCGCACGAGGCCAAACCGGACTAAGCCCCGATGCCGTCCGGAGACCAGGTCGTGGGAGAAGAGCAGCCGCTGAGAACCGTCCGCCGTGGGAGACAGAGCCGTGGAGGGAGGCTCCGAGCCCGGGCTGGCCGCCGGGGACAGGCCCGGCGTCGGTGATGCTGCCGTCGCCGTTTCAGCCGTTGCTCCGGGCTCCGCCATCGCTGCTGTTGTCAAGGAGAGATGCAGAGCGCGAGGATGACGGTGGCGTAAAAAAAGGCTGAAACTGAAAGCAGCAGAGCGCACGTGTGTACGTAACTACGGAGGAGTACGTGAGTTAGTAAGAAAACGTCATGACGCAGTACGTTCGGTCACCACAGAGGGGCGCTGCAGGCCAGAGACAGGAAATGTACTCTGTTAATAAAGATGGACTATTTCATTTAATCAGTGAACCTCACATACAAAAGTTATTTTATAAATATAACATTTTACACCACTTTAAATTGCTGCAGCATGGAAGCAACATTTTCATCTATTTCTTTGTTTATTTAGTTGTATTTAACAAAAGTTCTGCAGACTTTCTGAAGCACTTCATATTTTTACATTTGCTGATTTTTACCCATTTCAGCCCAGTTCTTATGGGAATGTTGTTTTTCAACCAGTGAGGCATTTACCAAACAACCACCAGTTAAACAATATTCATTTATAACATTAAGAACATTTGCTTTAATAAAAAATATGTTTTGGCTGTGAAATAAATTTGCTGATTAATCTAAAACTGAGTTGTTAAAAGAGTTGAAAAAGGAAGAACATAAGTTTAAAAAATAAAGACAAACAGTGGATAAAAGTTAAAAGTACATCAACAATAGCTAAAAGTAAGAACAAGATAAAATCTAAAAAGTAGCTATAAGCTGTAAAGCTATATCTAAACGCTAACAGAAGCAAAACGTTATAGTTGAAAGAAGCACAAAAAAAAGAAAATTAAAAAGTAGAGCAAGAAGCTGGATTTCAAGACAGTTTTTAAAGGGAATTGAAATAAATTGAAATTAGTTTCTATGAGGAATATATATATATATATATATATATATATATATATCTTTTTTGAATAAAGTTGAATTTTTTGATCACTATCAAATTTACAAAAGATAAAAGTCATTAGACTCATCTCCTGATTGAGCTGAACTTTTTGATATCACATTAAATTTGAAAAAAACAATCTACGTGATATTTAATAATATAAATAAAATGATCAAAGTTCTATTTAAAATGGACAGTATTGAAATTCATAGATTTAATGAACTAAAATTATGGGGTGTTGTTATTGATGAGAAGCTGACATGAAAATCTCATGTAACTTACTTAATAATAAAAATAGAAAAATCAGTTGCATTACTGTATAAAGTAAAAGTTTTTGAATGACAGAACTTTGTGTATATTGTATAATGTAATGATTGTTCCATATTTAATCGTATTGAAGTTTAGGGAAAAGCAAGTAAAACAATTACAAATTATTTTCATTTTACAAAAAAAGAGCTTTAAGAATTATTTATAGGAAGTGCTGTGGTCACCCAACAAATACATTATTTCATCAATTGAAATTATATAAATTTTATGATTTGGATGACTATAGTATTTTGCAAATCATGTGTAAAGCTCATAAAAAATATTACCCTCAAATATTCAGTTAAAATTTGTTTTAAAAAAAGAGAGTCATTACAACCTTAAGGGAATGGAAATGTTTGTAAAACCCCAGTTCAGAACTAGTGTGAAGAGCTGCGTTGTAATTCAGGGAACAGGATTGTGGAATTGCCTTGATATCACCATAAACATTTCTAAAACAATTTATATGTTTAAAAAGATGATTAAGGTAACGTTGTTGGGAAAGTATAGTGCCCGGTGAAGGATGTCTAATTTTTTGTTTTCACTTGGAGATTGTTCAATCCTAAATTGTTGTTTGTTTAAAATTATTTTATATTTTTTTAAATAAGGGGCAGATGTAATAATTTTCACCATCACAGACATCTACACCTCCAGATGGAGGAAGAGGGCCACCTGCATCATGAAGGACCCCACTCACCCAGCACACACACTTTTTGCCCCACTCCCCTCAGGAAGGAGGTTGAGGAGCATTAAGTGCAGAACCACTAGACTGAGGAACAGCTTCTACCCTGAAGCTGTTAGACTCATGAATCTAACCAGAATAATCACTGTGAAAAAAATCACATCATGTTGCTGCTGATCTGTTTCAATGTTGCTGCTGATCTGTTTCATGTTACTGCTGATCTGTTTCATGTTGCTGCTGATCTGTTTCATGTTGCTGCTGATCAGTTTCATTTTGTTGCTGATCTGTTTCATGTTGCTGCTAATCTGTTTCATGTTGCTGCTGATCTGTTTCAATGTTGCTGCTGATCTGTTTCAATGTCGCTGCTGATCTGTTTCATGTTGCTGCTGATCTGTTTCATGTTGCTGCTGATCTGTTTCAATGTTGCTTCTGATCCGTTTCAATGTTGCTTCTGATCTGTTTCATGTTGCTGCTGATCTGTTTCATGTTACTGCTGATCTGTTTCATGTTGCTGCTGATCTGTTTCATGTTGCTGCTGATCTGTTTCATGTTGCTGCTGATCTGTTTCATGTTATTGTGTTCATGCATGCTCATCTGCTCACACAGACTCATGTTCGTGCTGCTGTTCAAATTAATGTTTTATGTTATGAGTGCTTAGTGTATTATTTAGTTGATGTTTTTCTTAGTTCATATCTTAGATGTTATTACTGTTTTTCTTTTACATTTTATTGTTGGATGTAACTGGAACCCTGTGTACATAATCTCGTTCCACCACATGTACCACATGAGATGCAAATGACCAATAAATCTCTCTGAATCTCTGAATTTTATTCTTTCTGCACCTTTTCAATGTTTTTTTTCTTTTGTTTATTTTAATTGAACAAATAAATGAATAAATAAATATGACTCAAAATGCATATGTATGTTGAAGTAACTTGCTTAAGGCTGAATCATCTTTTGATTCAAATTCAATTCAATTCAAAAATACTTCATTAATCCCAGAGGGAAATTACATGTTGTAACTCGTTATCCTCATTTCATTAAGAGATGTTATAGATGCTGATGGCTCTAGGCAGGAAGGATCTCTTGTAAAGGTCCGTCCCACAGCGGATCCGAAGAAACTGGCCACAGATGCCGTCCAATCCGTCTACCCAGACTCGGCTGGTCTCTCGGTTCCTCTGGGCAGCAGGACCGCCTGAATGCTGGGTAGAACTCCACCCCGAGTGATGGTCACTCCTCCCAGCAGCCAGCCGCACTCCTCGTCGTTGCAGACAGCCAGCTGCAGGTGCCGGGGGACAATCCTGTCCTTCTGCTGTCACGAGACCCGTTTCCTGCCAGTTCCAGGATCTCAGTATTCAGGCATTCGAGCACAGCAAGGAGACGGGAATGCATCCACGGCGCCTCCTTTTCAACTCATTTGAGATTTGGGGCTGTAGCTGAAATATTATTTGAGCTTTTGAGATGTTAATCAGCAGCTCCCGGTTGTAAAAAAAAAAAAAAACACCTTGTTGTTATGGTTACGCATCATAACAAATGTCCAAAAGTAAAAAAAGTTTCAGTAAAAATCCTTCCAGCTGCACAACATCTGATACAAGAGGAAGTAATCATCCAAAAAATGTGATTTACATCCAGAAAAACAGGAATTAAAGTTTCCAAAAGAACTCTCAGAATGAAAGTAACAGACGTGCAGCCTCCCTGAACAGCACAATTCTAGAAGATGTCCTAATAATGGTAATAAGAATAATAATAATTATTATTACCACTAACTGCCTGAATGCTCCCAAACACCATATTGACAAAATGCAAAGAGCCTTTTGGTTTAACGTCTGATTGTTTTTAGGTTGTTGAGCACATTTTGCACAATCAAAACAGACGTCGTTGTGTTCCTGAGGGGCAGAAGGTCTGATTCACCTGAGTTTACCTGTTCGAACAACATCAGGTTCACGGGTCTCCTGAGATCGTGGGTTTTCCCATGACGCCACACAAAGTAGTGGTGTGTTTAGGCCTTAAAGCACAGTAATCTTGATATATGTCAACTTGTGGTTTTTGAAGAGAATACTTAAAAATGCTCCATAAATGCATCCAGACATTTAACAACGACATGGTTTTAAACCTGATGACCCAGAACAGACTGATGTGACAGTGAGGGAAAACATGGCTGCACTCTAATATCAGGAGGGAGAACAAGTTATAGCAGGATGAGATTCTTTAAATTCTCCAGCCTCCACATCTGTAACATCCTCTCACAGGAAAATATAAACATCCCTGTAAGACACGGTGGATCACTTCACTGGAGTTTGGAGCCTCAGACACGTGATTTGATGGACTCGTGGAGGATCATTCAAAAACACAAACATGCACTCTGAGCGCGCGAGCAAATCTGTTTATTGATGGACTTGTTCACCCAGAAGGGAGGCGTGGTCCTCCTGCTCCGTGAAGGATTATAGCCCCCCTCCCTCCAGCACAGGACTATAAATCCTCCAGACGCGCAGACTTTACGCACGCTGCCTGCTGACCTGTGGCGCGCGAACAGAGTCCTGAGAGTTCTTGTCCCAGGAGACTGGACAGTTAGAGGACAGTGTCTTTATCCATAGAGGCTCTGTGCTGGGGGGCACCGGGAGCACAGGATGCTGGTGAGCGCGGCTCCGTTCATGAGGCCGCTCCACGTGCGCTCCCCGGGGCCGCGGGGCCGCCGCCACACGCTGCCCGCCAGCGAGTTCCGCTCCCTGAGCCCGGAGGACGCGGCCAGCGTGTTCGAGATCGAGAGGGAAGGTAAGAAAACGAAAGCTCGTCCCTCCATCCCTGAACCGAGTCCTGGCGCTAAACACGCACGCGTCTTCTGTCGCAGCCTTCATCTCCGTGTCGGGGGAGTGTCCCCTGCACCTGGACGAGGTGCGTCACTTCCTCGCGCTGTGTCCCGAGCTGTCCCTGGGCTGGTTCGAGGAGGGCCGGCTGGTGGCCTTCATCATCGGCTCCCAGTGGGACCAGGACAGACTTAACCTGGTAAGACGGAGCCGGGAGGGAATTAACCCCATCCGGCTGAGCGGCGTGGAAAAAGACAAGGGGGGGTTCAAGCAGATTACCGGTGGGGGGTAGTCAGAGTGGAAATACTTTGAGGATGATGATGGAAGACTTCCAGTAGTGTCAAACACTGGTAGAGGAGGCGACACACATTCAGTTTTACTGAACTCTAAAGAGCTGCAGCTGGATTAATAATCCCATGTTTTACCCCCGGACAGCTTTTAAAGGGGGATTTCAGCTGTTTCAAGGGGTTTTGTGGAAAAATAGATAAACAGTATCTTACCTGTTGCAGATCGCTCTCAGAATGACCCCATTCATCCATTATCTTTACCTGTTTCTTCCTTTCCGGGTCACTGGTGCCCAGCAGCTACTATGGCAGAGGCAGGGGACACACAGGTCTCCAGTCCATCAGGGACACCTGGACAGGTCTCCAGTCCCTCACAGGGAAACTAGTTGCCGATCAGCCTAGTTTTGACTGGATTGACAATATGAAGTCATCTTAGTGTAATCTGTGGCTGCAGAACAAAGATCTTGGATGTATAAACTTGTCTTCGGTCAGGGGTTCTAGTTTTTATTTTACTGGAGCTGATTTATAAACTGGTCCACTCACTGCAGCATTTGTTCGTCAACACTGACCAGACCGGCTTGCTCTGTTAAAACTTCAGTTTTCTGGATCTTTAAACCTTGACAGCACCATCTGTTTCCATTCCAGTTATTTTAGGGTCTCCCAGGGTGGAGGTGCTACAGCTAGCAGCTGCTGCTTGCAGACAGACCGTCTAAAGAGAAACTGAAGGTGTGGGAAGTTACAGAAGGTAGATGAACCAGAGGATTTTGAGATTGGACTGAGAGTTGAGGTGACTAAATTCACTTGGGCAATAAATCCATTCAAACCAGTTGCTCAACGATCTGACCAGAACTGAAAGTCCAAACTGGTCGTTCAGTTCTCACACAAATCCCTTGAAATGGCTGAAATGTCCCTTTAAAGGCCAGCCTTCAAAAACAAACACAAATGCAGCTGGAGCTTCAAGAGGCCTCAGGGGCCACAGAGGTTCAGCTCAGGGGCCACAGAGGTTCAGCTCAGGGGCCACAAATGTTCAGTTCAGGGGCCACAGAGGTTCAGCTCAGGGGCCATAGAGGTTCAGTTCAGGGGTCACAGGTTCAGTTCAGGGGTCACAGGTTCAGTTCAGGGGTCACAGAGGTTCAGCTCAGGGGTCACAAAGGTTCAGCTCAGGGGCCACAGAGGTTCAGTTCAAGGGCCACAGAGGTTCAGTTCAGAGGCCACAAAGGTTCAGTTCTGGGGTCACAGGTTCAGTTCAGGGGTCACAGAGGTTCAGTTCAGGGGCCACAGAGGTTCAGTTCAGGGGCCACAGAGGTTCAGTTCAGGGGCCACAAAGGTTCAGCTCAGGGACCACAGAGGTTCAGCTCAGGGGCCACAGAGGTTCAGTTCAGGGGCCACAGAGGTTCAGTTCAGGGACCACAGAGGTTCAGTTCA